CCTACGAGACCCAGCGAAGTTACGCACCGCATACTTTTGCCCTCGCATTGAGCATAAAATAGGTCACAGCAGAGAGACGCTGTGGCTTTAAGCATTGCCTGGCCTGAGCCGGATTATCATTAGGTTACGTAACTGCTGATGAGCTGCTTTTCATTAAGGCTTCCCCGAGTGGTGCTGGGAGCAGGCACTGCCTCCAACCATCCCGGGAAGGATTTCCTCCCAGCGTGCTGCGAGCCCTGCAGTGTGCAGCCAGGCCAAGGTGCTTCCATCAACTGCATGGGCTTAGGAGGCGTCTGCACGTGCAACCACCAATTCACCTTCGTGGGCTTGTGTGTTCGTTTTGCTGCTGCAATGCTGTATAAAAAAGACGTATGGAAAAAGGGGTTAAATCGGTGCGTTAAAATGTCTAGCTCTTGGCATGGGGTTTTGTGTTAGCAAAGTGCATCCTCTGCTGAGAAAAACCCAAAACTTTCACACCTTGTGGTGGTCTTAAAGACTGTCACACAGGAAATGATGGTACATTGTGGCAGCAACAGTGCAGTGCACCTGCAGAGACCTTAGAAAAGAGGAGAAAAAGCTGTTTTCAGTCATACTGATAGGACAAGGGGAGATGATTTCAAACTCAAAGAGGGGAGATTTAGATTGGATACAAGGAAGAAGCTTTTTCACTGTCAAGATAAGGCACAGGTTGCCCAGAGACATGGTGGAAATCCTGTCCCTGCAGACAGCCAAGGTCAGGCTGGATGGGGCTCTGAGCACTGATGGAGCTGTGGGTGTCCCTGTTCAGTGCAGGGGATTTGAACCAGATGGCCTTGAAGCGTCCCTTCCAATTCAAATGATTTGATGGTATTCTCACACTCCTAGGCTCAGAAGTGCCAAGTTCTAGCCAGGGCTTTGCCTCCCATTGGGATGAGCTGGAGGACGAGGGGTATCCTTCCTCAGGTCTCACTTATTCCTCCACTGGAAGCAGCCAGCAGTGCTGCTTCACTCCATGGAGAGGCCATCCCTGTGAGCAAAGGTGCACCTGTACTGCAATGACCTGCTTGTCTGGATGCCACCACCAAATGCCATTCCTGTACCCTTCTGCCATTTGTTCCTTCTGCTGCTGCCACACCCAGCATTCTTAACCCTCAGTTAGACTGATTATAACATTTCTGTGACATTTTTAACAGATAAATAAGATGAAGAGCTCCACATTCATCAAGGGCTCAGCATGGAACAGAATCAAGCCCAAATTCAGAAGACACATGAAGTTCTAAGGAAGCATGCTCACGACAAGTGGATACGATACTATCATCAAAGAAATTGCTTATTGCAGTGCTGAGTATGGACTTTAAAGGACTCGATACTATTAACGCTACCTTCTTAATGACTACACACTGGCTACTTGTGCTGACTAGAATCACTTAAAATAGAATCACAGAGGGAGGATAGTGATAGGACAAGGGGGAATGGTTTTAAAGTGAGACAGGGCAGGTTTAGGTTGGATCTGAGGAGGAAGTTTTTCCCCCAGAGGGTGGTGAGGCACTGGCACAGGTTGCCCAAGGAGGCTGTGGATGCCCCATCCCTGCAGGCATTCAAGGCCAGGCTGGATGTGGCTCTGGGCAGCCTGGGCTGCTGGTTGGTGACCTGCACACAGCAGGGGGTTGGAACTGGATGAGCATTGTGGGCCTTTGCAACCCAGGCCATTCTATGATTCTATGATTCTATGATAGAATCATGAAAATTGTAAAAGACCTCTAAATCACCCAATCCAACCCACCCCACCGTGCCCACTGCCCACATCCCTCTGTGCCACATCCCCACGGTTCTGGAACACCCCCAGGTTTGGTGACTCCACCACCTTCCTGGGCAGCTGTGCCACTGCATCACCACTCTTTTGGAGAAGAATCTTTTTTCCTGGTATCCAATGTGACAGAGCTGCTTCATAAATTGAACTACAACCTGAAAATGGCCTTTAGCCCAACTGAGCGATGTGCAAAACTGGACTGTTGGTGACACCATGCAACAGGGACCAGGGCAACCAGAAAACCTCGATGCTGTTTTGGCTGGTGATCCCACAATTGCTCACTTGTTGCTTGACCTCCACTTAAGCCTCTTAAACACTGCTTTGTAAATATGAAACGAAGATAATCATATCATCTTGTTTTACAAAGTGCTCAGGCGAGAAAGATCTCGCAGCAGTGAATTATTTGTCATTTGCAGTAGGCTGGAAATTAAAACTGCTCTCAGATAAAGTCTTACCCACCACAGCCTCAATTACCTGGTGGGGGGGGGGCTTTGTTTTGGATTTAATTCCAGGCAGTTTTAAAATAATTATTTCATTTTACTGATGGATTTCATTTTTTGCCATGTGTATTTGAATGAGACATTTAATCTTTTTCATAATACGTTTTGAAGTCTCATTCATTTAAATTGTCACTGCCTGACAGCACTGTAATGTACTTAAAAATGGCATTGTTTGTACCCGCATTCCATTTAAAAATTAACTTGCAGATTAAAGTAATAAAAATGGCTTTTTACTTCTCGGTGTTAATATCACCAAAAACTTCAAATGCCCCTCCTGCCTGAGATTAGCTCATAGCTGTGTTCCCGTGAGGGATTCGTGGAAGGAAATATCCTAACATCAAGCCCCACGACTTTGTGTTAGCGGTGAAGGCTGAGCATTTTCTGCCTGAGTAAAGGCAAAGTGGGCATAGCCTGCAGAGGCAGTGCAGAGCTGGCAGCTCGCAGAACTTGGGGACTTGCACAGCTTCCTCCCCCGCTGCTGTCACAAAGGGAGCAGGACCAGAAGGGATCTATTAGCACTTCCCCCTAGATGTGTTGCAACGCAGGGTCATGCAGCAGCATGCAGTGGCGCAGAGCGTTGCCCCAGCCCCTGCTAAGTATGCAATTAAAGGAGAATCCTTAAGTGTTCCTTCGTTACCTTGCACACAGCGTGAGTTCTGCAGCAGAGGATTTGTTCTGGGTGTATGATTGCAGGTCACTGCTCTTCTTTGCATTGTTTCTCTGCTGCTTTCTCACTTGTTTCAGTGCTTTTGTTCACATACATGAACCTGAAATCCTTTATAGGTGAATATATACATATACATACAAAGTTAATCAACAGTTTGCCTAGGTGAAGATGGGCAAAATATGCGCCATTTTATTGACAAATGCAATTAACCATGCTGGACTTACAGCCCAGGAGAAGGCTTCTTGATCCCCAAATGAGGGAAAACAACCAGCATGCCCACCATCACCGTCCCCATGCCTTCCACCTGCCAAAGGGTTAACTCAAGCTCAACCTGCCCGTCCCAGAGATAAGGGAGGCAGTTATGAAATACATCCGCGGGGCTTTCCTCTTTGGGAAGCAGAGAGGTAACTGCGTGGATCCCCCTCAAAGACGCAGGTTTCCAAGGAAGGCAACGTTCAGATGGTGTGGGTGGATGTGTGATCTCGTGTGTTTGGCTGGGCCTTTCAGGGCCGATTTGTTCTGCTGTAACAAATGCTCTCTCAAGTCCCAGAGGAATAAAGAGCCCCCACGGAAAAGAATGAGCCACCTGAAGCTCAGGCTTATTTTAACCATTCAACCCATTGAGCTGTTTTACCTCGTGACACATAAGGTGTTTGGGGATTTCACAGCTCCACAGAGACGATGAATAATGTAACGAGATACAGCCGGGATGCGATAAAACAGTTCATAGAGCAAGCACGGCTGTTCCACTTGCAGCGGCTTTCTGTGGAAATGGCAGAACATGTGGGTGAGGACAGCAAGCAGCGGTCACTCCGCACGGGACGGTTGCCACATGCTGCCTTCTTCTGAACGTTTGGCTTTGGTGCCCATCTGAGACAACTGCCAGAGGTTCTGGTGCCTCAGAGGAGAGGGATGCGGTGAGCTGAGAGGTCTTTTCCAACCTTAATAATTTTGGGGAGGGTCTGGAGCACAGGTGTGATGGGGGCTGTCTGAGGGAGCTGGGATGGGTCAGTCCAGAGCAGAGCTCAGGGGAAACCTCATTGCTCCTACAGCTCCTGAAAGGAGGCTGTGGCGAGGTGGGGGTCAGCATCTGCTCCTAAATAACAGTAACAGAATGAGAGGTGATGGCCACAAGTTGCACCAGGAAAGGTTCAGGTTGGATATTAGGAACAATTTCTTCTCAGAAAGAGCGGTGCTGCAGTGGCACAGCTGCACAGGGGGGTGGTGGGGTCACCAAACCTGGAGGTGTTCAGTGTGATGTGGCACTGAGGGATGGGCACAGTGGCGTTGGTGATCTCAGAGCTCTTTTCCAACCCGGTTGATTCTATGAGCGTTGGGAAACTAAACCTGGTGGGTGACACCCTGCGGAGTGGGAACGCAGAGAACGGCTGAGCAGCGGGTCCCCACGGCAGCACCCACGTGTCACTCCGCGCTGAGGTGACGGCAGGGCCGCGCTGCCCGGGGCTCCGGCACAGCCCCCCCGCGGCGCCAGGCCCGCCCCCCGCTGCCAAGATGGCGCCCGCCGCCCCCTTCCCTCCCCCTCCCGCCGCTTTGGCCTCGCGCCGTAGGAGGGGGGGGACGATGGCGGCCGGCGGCCTGCACCCGGCCCCTCCGCTGCCCCACAGCCCGAGCACCGCCGCGCCGCAGCGGGAGGCGGCGGAGAGGGAGGAGTAAGGGGGGAGGAGGGAAGATGGCGGCTGAGAGGAGGAGGAGGAGGAGGAGGGTTGGGGTTAGGCCTCCTCCGACACCGCCCCCTCGTCCTCCGTCCCCGGCTCCGCCCCGTCCCGCCGGGAGGGATCGCGGCGAGCAGAGCCGGAGCCCCGCAGCCGCGCCGCGCCGCCCAGGCAGGGGGCCCCGGGTGCCCGGGAGCCCCGCAGCGGGAACCGGGGCCCCAGCAGCGCCCGCCGCCTCCTCCTCCTCCTCTTCTCATCGCTCATCGCTCGCGGCGGTCTCCCCCCGGGCCGCCCCGCCGCCCGCCTCCGGCCGGGGGAGTCGCTGTCGCCCGTTTGAACGCGGCGGCCCTGAGCCCGCGGAGCCGGGGTGGGGGGGGGGGGGAACGGAGCGGAGCGGCTGTCAGCCGGGCGGCGGCAGGTGGGTGAGCGCACGGGGGAACGGGGAGGAGGGAAGGCGGGAGGTGGGGGTGTGTCGGGCCCCGGGGGCAGCCCCAGGCCCGCGGGGAGGCGCAGCTGTCACGGCGGGGGCGGGCACGGGGCGGCCCGGGGCTGCCATGGCGGCGGGCGGAGCGAGGTGCCCCTCCGTGTGCGAACCGCGACCCTTCCTCGGGAAGAGGGAGGGAGAACGTGGGTAGGGGGGGGAGAGGGAGAAGATCCGCGGGTCGAACGCTGCGGGGCCTAAACACCCCCCCATCCCTTCTCCTTCTTTCTTTTTGAAATCATATTTAAATGTTGAAAGTGGATGGAATAAAGTGAGGAAAAGCAGCGCTCCCTCCCATCCCCGTTTCCCGTTCTTCCCCCCCCTACTACTGCGCAGCCCCTCGGAAGCCTGGGGAAGATGGCTGAAGGCTGAGTGTGGGCCTGCCGCCCCCGGGGCTGGTGGCACGGTGACACGGCGCTGGTGGCAGGGTGACGGGGCGGTGGTGACACGGTGACAGCTCTTTGTTTGCACGCTGCACCCCCTCCCACCCCCACCCCCCTCCCCGGTGACCCACCTCCAGCTGCAAGTTGAGCACTGACAGTTGGAGGGGTTGGAAAAGAAGCCGTGTGCTTTCCGATTTGGTCGTTGGAGGAGACATGGCGTGCCCCAAGTTTTGGGTCCTCGCTGTGCTCCGTCTCTCTCCCACGCGTGCAATGAGTGACCCCGCAGCGCCGGTGCTGTGTGTGCGAGAGGGGAGGGGGGGGAGACGGGGGACGACTGCCCACTGGCATGTGACATTTAGCGGTAGAAAATCTGTTGCGGAAAAGCCGCTTCCTTCCTTCCGACATCGGCTGTTAGATGTGCCGAAATCCCTCTGTTTCCGAGGTGTGCTCTGACCTTTCAGCAGTAAGAAGTGGGTCACGGCAGTGCGATGCTCCTGCGGTTGTTGTGCGCCCAGCAGAGCGCGGTTTGGAGGCAGGAAGGTGGTGACTCCAGTTGGGTTCTGCTTGCTTCCATTGGAAGTTCGATCAGCCGGTGGTAGGGATTTGGATTTTCGCTTCTCAAATATGGCACAGCCAAAAAAAAAATAATAATAATAAATAAAAGAGTGACACAGCAAAGTGGATTGTCACTGGAAATTTGGGCTGGTGTGGGTGGTGCCTGCATGTTCTTCAGCCCGGCTCAGGGCTCAGCTCTTTGTGTTGCTGGTCGGGGCTAAAAAAATGGTCCTGGTTTGCGTGGGCTGGCAGGATATACGTGTGCCTATAGGAAAATTGCATGTGTGTGTGTATGTATGTTATATATGAATGAAAGAGTTATACACCTGGCATGTTCCAGTTGCAAGGCGATAGAATTGTAGCGTGGCTCAGGTTCAAAGGGACTTTACAGCCCTCCAGCCCCAACCTCCATCATGAGCTGGGTGTCTCCACCAGCTTGGGCTGCTCAGGACCCATCTGTGGCCTTGTGCACTTCCAAGGATGGGGCACCCACCCTTCTCTGGGCCGATAAATTTACATGAAGAAGAAAGATGCTCTGTTGACTTTGTAGAGATGCACCATCCCACTGCAGGTCAGAGGCTGTGCTCTTCTGCCTCGGTAACTATATACACTCTCTAAAGGTCAGCTTGCTCTGGTATAAGTGAAAGTAAAAAGTGTATCTTAGTACGGAACTGTGTAGTGGTGTATAGATAGCTGTATACCCAGGCCTTTTGCTCAGGGAAACATTGTAAAGCCACAAAAGGGAGTTAAAGCCAAGCATGTGCTGGGCAGCCCTGGAAGTGGCAAAGCCCTTCAGCTCTGTTTCATGAAACTGATGAAAGTTTAAGCTGCCACTTCAAGGGACGAACTGCTCTCAATGGTAGATAATAAACAGTAGTAACTCTGGCAGCACCCTACCTGGCTCACAGCCGACGGGCATGATGAAATGTGAAATCTCAACTTATTTGCTCAAGATGGGTATCTGCTGTTTGGAAGATGTTGCCAAACAATATGGCAGCACAAACGCCCGCTTCCAAAACAAACAGGCGTCCCAGGAGGGGAGCAGGGGGCTGGGGAGGCAGAAGGCCTTTGCATCTTACTCACTTTGCTTGTAGTGCTCATGTTTTCCCCAAGCCTTGCCTTCTGATAATGCTAAGACACATGCTCACAATTGCGTGACTAATTTGTAAAATTAGTCATACACTTCCACTCGGGGTTTATTGGAGTCGTATTGCTGTCATTCTCACGTTGTAAAAGTCCACATTGGGGAACATGTGCCCTCTGTTGACTTTCCTGAGGTCTCTCTGCGTGGCTCTTGGGTGGGCTGCTTACAAATATTTGATGCCTTCGGGACGGTTAGGCTTAATTGTGCAGGCATATTTCCAACAAACTGATCTGCTGGAGATCAGCACCTCGTTGCTTGATGATCTGAGGGGGGTGATCTGCATGAGCTTGTGCAGGGATTGTCAGAAATGAAGGTGTGAACGCTGCTGCTATAAATACCCTGTCCCCTGCATAAATAGTTTGCCAGCTGAAAAACAGTATATTTTGTTTAAGGAAACTATTTATATTACAAGTTATTCTTGTTTTGCCTGGTTGACTTTGTGTTTCTTTGAAGCGTGGCTCTTATCTCTTTGATCAAAGAGGAGGAATTAAAACAAAATAGATTTTCAAGCTAGAGTCTTCCTTTAAAGACAGGATTTTCAGCAGGAATGGCATGGAGTAACAGATAAATATTCTAACCAAGTATTCCTGAAAGGCCAATGTAGTGTGTGATGTACCCAGCAGCATGTGGCCACTGCTTCTCCATACAAACTTTAATTGTAGGCAGATGCAAACAAGCGACTTTTAGTGCTTGTTACATGTTTGTATTGCTGCAGCACCTGGCAGTCCTGGTCCTGGTTTGCAGTGGGGTGGGATTAATGGAAAAATGGAGCAAAAGCGGGTTCTGCTTCTAAAAACTCGCAGTTTAAACCAAAGGCAAGAGGTAGAGGAGCTGGACTGTGGTGGGGCAGCAGCAGGGCAGCCAGAAGTCCCAGCAGATGGGCTGGGGAGTGTGCATTTGGGCTGAAGTGGGATCCATGGGGACTGGGAGGGGATCCCTTGTGCCCAAAGTGGGCTGGGGGGTGTTCACTGGGGCCAGAATGGGTTGGGGGAGGGATCCCTTGGGGCCAAAGTGAACGGGGAAGGGTCCACGTGAATGGCTGTGCTGAAGCTTGGAGGTGCAGCAGCATGCTGCAGGGCTTGTGCGAGTGTGAAAGCAGGCAGGAAGCCTTCACCTCTTCCCCTGGTGCAGCAGGATCTGGAATAGTTTGTTTGCCTATGGCTGCAATAGTAAAAATGAAGGCTGGCTTGTAAACACTTCCAAAGTTTATGCACAGAGCCTTGCGTATGAATCAGACCTTTTGAGAACAGGTTTGTGACGCTGCTGCAGCATCTCCATGTAGAGGTGACTGTGTGAAATGCTGTGGCTACGGTGTGGGACAAAGCTCAAAGCACTCAAGGGTTTCTGAGCCCTGGTCTGAGTGTAAGAGATGTGTCAGCACCACGCCATTTACCTGCGCTCCTGTCATTTGCAAAGGGGAATCTGCTGAACTGGTTTGGAGGTTCTTGAAGCCTGAACTAATTTACCTGGCTGGGAATGTAGGTTAGAAACTAGGCTTCGCTTGGCTTTGGGCGAAAGCCAACGCGCTCTGCAGGGAAAATGCAGGCTGAATAGCTTCTGTGCTGATAATCCTGCAATATTTGTCCTCCTCTTTCTCCTGCAAGGCAGGTGGGCTCTCAAGTGCTCACCCAATTGACTGGGAAGCAACTCCAGCACATCTCGGTGCAGGGAGCAGCAGGACGTTCCCCTCATGTGCCCTTGGGTGAGTGTGAGGAGGTGCTTTGGGGAAGGGACGTGGCAGTGAGCATCCTCACCTCCAGTCAGATCCCCACCCCACTGCCTAAACGACGTGTATTTGTGCACCAGCGTCTGTAAATCTGCACAAATCTGTTTAAACCTGGTTTATTAGGCTCTGTAAGCTGTCCTGGCAGTCAGGTTTAAACCAGTGTGTCCATGCAGAGATTTGCCTTGATTTAATGGAGCAAGCTGGAGTTGCAGGAAGGTGATCCAGGAAATGAAAGCAGTTTGCTGGCTTGCCTCAGTGAACTCTCCGGTATCCATATTTTGCTCTGAAGATCCATAAATTGTCTGCTTACAGCTGACAAGTGGAAGGGTTCTTGGATGTGTTTGCACTTTTCTAGAGAGGAAAAAAAAATATCCTTATGCACCAGGTTGTGTTTTAAACAAGTGTCCCGGTCAGGGCTGATCCTGCAGCTGGCTTGGGAACACAAATCGTTACAACGTCTGTGCTCAGCTATTTATGTGTATTTTGTGCTTATGTGGAATTATATGGCATGGAATATTCTATGAAGTGAGCTGAGGCTTGGGTTTCTTTGGATTCATCTTTTTCTCCCCTTTTTTAGCTTGATGTCTGAAATTCCAAGGGTCCCTTTATGAATTTTCAGAACAGGACTCCAAAAAATAAAGCAGTGTTGCAGGTAGAGAAAGAAGTAGGCTTGTTTCTTGTATTCCTGTGATGCAGGTATGAGCGAGGGGCTGTTTAAAAGCCAAACAAATCAACAGCTTGCTTACAAACGTGAAGTTCAGCTCTTGGTTGTGAATAGAGAGATACGTGTGCAGTCCCAGCCCTGCCTTGATTTGAAATGGTCTGAGAGTGGGTAAGTGCTGGTAATGTCACACACCTGACATCTGTGTTGTCTCTTGCATTCTGTCTTAGGGAAATAAGGGCCTGGGGAGGGCAAGGAGCTGCCAGCCCACAGCAAAGCAGTGCCCCATCTCAAGGTCTCACAGTGCTGTGCTGTGTTTCAATACAAAAATAAGAGGGGACTGTAATTTTTTCACTAAAACTCTGCACTGGAGGCTTAAGAATGAAAGCTGACCATTTTTCTCTATCTTATTTTCCCTTTCCTGTTAACAAAGCCGGGCTGAATTAAAAAAAAAAAAACAGAGAAAAG